TGAGCCTGCGCGTCCGGAGCCTGTGCTCCGCAACGGGAGAGGCCGCGACAGTGAGAGGCCCGCACACCACGATGAAGAATGGCCCCCGCTCGCCGCAACTAGAGAAAGCCCTCGCACAGAAACGAAGACCCAACACAGCCAAAATAAATAAATTAATTAATAAACTCCTACCCCCAACATCAAAAAAAAAGGTGGTGCCAGAATGCCCTTCCCATTTCCTAAAACTTAATAGTGCTTTATTAGATCCTTAGTAAAAACTCCATCAATTTCCTACTTTGTCAACCCATTTTTCAGAAGTCATCTAAACAACTCCGCCTGGCTGAGCCAGTTACTGTTCTCCTATCTTTTCATTTCTCTCCTTTTTTTTGTGGCGTCTCCCGTTGTGGAGCACAGGCTCCAGACGCGCAGGCTCAGCGGCCATGGCTCACGGGCCTAGCCTCTCCGTGGCATGTGGGATCCTCCCAGACCGGAGCACGAACCCGTGTCCCCTGCATCAGCAGGCGGACTCTCAACCACTGTGCCACCAGGGAAGCCCATTCACTTCTTTCCTTTTTGCCTCCTTTCTTTTGGATAGCTTGGCAGTTTTTTCACAATGCAGCCCTATGCATGGTAACTAAGCCAGCAGATCAGTTACTGCTCTGAATAGTCTCTTGGCTTCCCAAGAGCAATGTTTTCATGATGACCTACTCGCATGACTTCATCATTTATGCCAATGGCATCAAATTATGTGTCTCCCTCTGGTCTTAATAAAGCCAGTCTAGGGTTAATTGTAACTCATACCATTTCTATTATTGCTTTGGAAGGAGTATTCCATTCGTAGTTCAGGGAAGGGGTGAGGCACCTACTCTTCTCAGGGTAAGATTGCCAAATCCTAACCATAATGCACTATAGCAAGTTAGTTGTCATACCGTTCAGAAGTATACAGAATGGACTGTCATATCATCCATCTGCTCAACCTAGATACTCCTTTCCATTCAACAATGTCTAGAATAGTAATATGGCTTCCTGATTGTTAATTCTAAAAATCCATGTCAATAATCATTCCCCAGGCTTCTGCTGCTATTTTCTATAAAGAGCACTAAGTCTTAAACAGAATACTCTTAGCATTGAGTAGTCACCTGACCTTGGTCTCCAACTACCTGTATGGTATTTCTACTGATCAATTTAGTTACTTTTTTAGCAAATATATATGGAAGCAGAAGGTTTTCCAGTGATGGGTAAAGATAGTCTCAAGCTTTTTCTCCAACTACTATCTCTTTTTTTTGTTGTTTTTAAACTGTCCTGCTTTTACCGGGCCTGCTAACAATAGTTAAGCCCTCATCACCATTTTCTACCCTTTTTTTTCTTGCCAAAAGGTGTCTTATATATCTGTGGGTCTGAAAAACAAAATCCCACTGACTAGGCCAATTTGCAATAACAAAAGACTGTACTGTGAAATCAGACTCATACAAACCAGAGACCTTACCTAGTAAGGTCAAGCTTTACTAATAATTCCAAGGATACAAGCAATCAAAGAGCCAGGTGAAGCAGGGAGAGGACCAGAACTATGAGTGAAGCCCTCCAGGTGTTTTCTGGTCACACTGAACCTGCCCGTGAACCAGGTAAACAGGTAAGGTCTCTAAGCAATGCATGTAGCTTACATCACTTACACAGAAAATAGATACCTCAGTCATAAAACATCTCGATTGATTTCCTATTCAGATAGTTGCATACCTTACATGACATGTTCCAGGGAGGCATGCCCCCAAGCCCAAAGATTCCAGGTTTGTTTACCAAAACCAACCATAGCAACCAGATACGTCCTGCTAAAGGCAGTTTAAAGATAAGGACTCCTCCCCACTAGTAAATATCATTAGTGATTTTGTTTTGTTTGTTTATTTTTGCCATGACATCTGTAATTAATGTTTATAAGGAGATTTATATGAGTTCTTCCTTTTTTTCCAGGGGACTTACCCCAGTTACTGGAAAGAATGGGTTACAGATCTACTACTTGATCTTTTGTTCCCAGTAATTATGGGATCTTCTAATCAATAACATCTCCTATGTCCCTGAGAATCAAGAACATTTTTCACTGTGGAAGAAAGCACAGATGGAAGACAGAATAATTACAGTCCTTATATAGCCCTAAATTTGATTTCAAAATATCATGAACTCCTGAGGTTATACATATACACATACATATATATCATTTCCCATTAAAAAAAACCCAAGGCCTTCTTAAAGAAATGGATGTTCTGGGTCTGGGGTATAAAATGTACAAAACGACACTATATGTTCATAGCAGTACTATTTATAATGGTACCAAACTAGAAACTACCCACAGGCTATGGAAGATAGAATGGACAATTCAACTGTGGTTTACTCCTACAATGGAACACTACACTATAAGGAGAAATGAGCAAACTATTGCATCATTCAATAACGTGGATGAATCTCATAAGATTAATGTTGAGCCAAAGAAGCCAGACACAATGGAGCCTATACTCTATGATTCGGCCATATAAAATTCAAGAACAGGAAAAACGAATCTATGGTATTAAGTATCAGAAGAGCTATTACCTCTGGGAGGGCAAGGCAAGTATTGACTAGGGAGATATTAGCAATATTCTATATCTAGATTTGGGTGTTGATTATATAGATATGTTCACTTTTTGAAAATTCACCAAGTTGGTCACAAGAATTTGTGCAATTTTTTGTATTTATGTTATACTTCAATAAAAGGTTAATTAAAAACAAAACAAAACATGAAGTAAATCTACATTTATTGACATGGAAAAAAAAAATCTCCAAAACATATTGTTGAGTGAAAAAAGGCAAGTTGCCCATCAATACACAGAGTAAGATACTCTTCAAATAATATTTCTATGTAGAAGCACTATAATTGTTTTATGGCTTTTTAAATATTACATATACACATACCAAAAGACTGATTAAAAAGATGATCAGCATCACTCTGGTGGGTATCTCTGGGAAAGGGAATCATTGGCAGCAGAGAAGCAGATAGAAAACACATCAAATCTTTTCTGTAACCATGAAAATTTAACATTACATGGCAAGAATGTTTTCATGTAATACTCATACAATTAAAAATAAATATTTCTAAAAGGCAGGATTGTTCTTAAATCCAATGTGGAAACACTTCTTTAAATAAGTCTAAAATCCAGAAACCTCTTTAAGCACTAAGCCATTAATGTGAAAATTTCATGAGTTCACTCACGCCTGCAAGACACCAAGGTTGTGTAACACAATTATTCAAAATGTTTTTTTATACGTCCATATAGAATCAACCCTTTTATAAGACCATTCCATAATCTCATGGGCCACAAAACTTTGCTGACCCCCTCTGTGAATGGAAAGGTCCTATTGTCCCATTTTTTGTTTAAAACTTTTTCTGAAAATTTTAAAGTGTGTGTGTGTGTAAGCTTGGAAACCTACATTGCATCATTTATGTTTGTGTCTTTAGAAGGAATGTGCCACTCAACAAATCTTTCTTTAATAGTGTTCTTGAGAATGACTTTCATCTTTGCACACCGATAGGCAATCAATAGAAACTATGTGCTGAAAATGTTCAAATCGGATCTATACTTTTGTCATTGGGATGTCAAGGACAAATTATCTCAGTTTTATATTTTACCCAAAAGTTTAATACAGTTAATCACCATCCCCAACCTTTACAGAGAGGCGCACACACATCCACACACACAAATGAAAAGACAAGCAATATCAGCCACGTACTATAATAAAGGTGGCAGTAAGGTCATATTCTATTGCTCTGTCTTTCTAACGGGGCAAGATCTCGCAGGGTTCTAATACATTCCATTTTCTAGTAGTAAAAGGGACAGAATATGTACTGTCCAGTGAGGTGTCACATGAACTTCATTACACAACTATGCAATCTGAGAAAATCCAAAAGAGAGTGAGCGACAAAGGAAGTGAGAGAGCATATTCTGTATACATTCATATAGAAACTCATATGACAAATATATCCGTAGTGAGAACTTCAATCATAAGAGTTATTGAGCAACATTTTCTCAAAAATGAGAACACAACACCACCTCAATGTTCTTCTTTTTAACAGCTAAGGAGATCAACTGCATGTTCTCTAAATAAGGCTTTCCACTAAAGATAACACCTCAACTTCCACAAGAAGAGAGTAGCTTTGTGTTTACCAGGAAGAAATATTATGGAATCTTCCTTTTAATGCTGTTTAAAATGTGAAATTATCTGTGAAATCTTCCACAGCTTTGGACCTTGTTATTTTAGAGATCAGCAAGGTGAACACTCTCAAATGAGGTACATGTTTTAGGCTTTGAGAACCCTGAGGTTCCAGGGCATTTACTGTAATAGGTTCATGAAATAAATGAATTGGGCTCAAATCCCATGGTTTCTTGAAAATGAATGTAATTATAAAAATTCAAAGCAACAAATTAAATGTGTTCGTATGTAATATCCATTTTTGAATCAGATTACCACCTGCCTGTTGTGTTTATGCTAACTGATCAAACGACATTTTCTCAAACATGAATTTCTCATCATCCTCAACAAAAACCCACTATGCGGCTTATTTCTGATACCACAAACAAAGACAATCCTTCTATTTCAGCATTATTCAAAGTATGTTAAAAAAAATACAAGGAAAATATCATGTGTTGTACCAAATACAGATTTTAAAAAGCTTCAAAAAAAATCAAACTATATTTTCTGTTTCCTATGAATATGAATTCCATATCTTATAAAAAGAACTTAAATTGAAGGACCACAATATAATACCAGTTTTAGAGGTAGTTATATACTAAAAAAAGAAAAGAGGCTCACTATTAATCACTTTGGTTAATAATCAAAAGCCCATCTTAAAACTTCCCCTTACTCAATTTCTTCAGCTTGTGACTCCACATTTTTATATTCTAAGTCATTCTTCCTTTTTACTTGTGATTGCTTATTAGTGAACTCAGATTATCTGTGTGGTAACAGACAGCTCCCTTGGAATTCTGGTTACATACCTAGAGCTGCTACTTTGATGATGATTGCTTGAACGTTAGATGATATCATCTCTCGGAGCAAATCTTCCTGGTTTCTTTGCCAAAGGTAAGCTAAAGGCTGGAGATTAAGCCTTTTACACCTACAACATAATTTTTAAAAAATCAGATGATATCTTAATGTTCTATACTTGGATCCATAGCAATTACTTTGATTTTAAACATACTGTTTCTCTCAAGGATTTTAGCATATAAAATACTTTTAAAAACACGTTTTGCATAATGAAGTTTATATATACAACATAAATATATTTAATTTCCATGGGCTCTGCATAAACACATAAAAATGAAATCTCCAGGCAGATTAGAAATATTAATTTTAGTAAGACTCTAAGTTTAGAAATCTATGCAAAAAAGCTTCCAAATGCTAATGGATGTTTATTCTTGTTTTAGAACTTTCTTGGGTATCAAAATTGTGAAGCACAGGCAAATACATTTATCCTAATAAAATAATTATATATTGATTACATTTATAATACCTATGGTTATATGAATTATTCTTATCTAATAACTCTGAAATTTTTTTTAGAGAATTTGACTCTGAGAGGGGGAGGGATAAATTAGAAGTATAGGAGCTAACAGATAAAAATTACTATACATAAAATAGATAAACAAGGGTTTACTGTATAGCACAGGGAACTATATTCAATATCTTGTAATAACCTATAATGGAAAAGAATCTGAAAAAAATATATACCTGAATCACTTTGCTGTACACCTGAAACTAACATAATATTGTAAATAAACTATACTTCAATAAAAAAAGAGAAGGTAAAATAAAGATATGTTAATACAAACAAAAAGAATTAAGAAAAAGCATAATCATAATGACAGCAAAAAAAAAAAAAGAATTCGACTGAGTGAAAAGAAAATAGTAAGAACAAAAAGTACATTCATTGAATACCTAGTATGCTGCAGGTATTGTACTACATATTTTACATTATGTTACTGTAGAAAGAATGCAGATTTTGGATTCCAGACAAATCTGAGTTTGAAACCTCCTTCTACACTCACTAGCTGCATGATTTTGACAAGTCAGAGCTAAGCTCCAGGACTTTAGTTTCCCAGTTCATACATACGGACAAAAATATTTCCTGCCAAAGTTCTTGAGAAGATTAAAATATTAGAAAGTGAAGTCATTCATTATTCCTCTTTTCTTCACATTCCACATCCAATCTACCACAATGCAGAATATGACCACTCCTCACCAATACCACTGCTAACATGCTGGTCTGAGCCACCAGTATCTCTCCTAACTTCTTCCCATTTCCATTCTTGCCCTTTTAAAATCAGTTTTCAATATAGCAGCCAGTGTGACCCTTTTAAAACATAAACGGATCATGGGATTTCTCTGCTCAGAACTCTCCCCATTACTCCTAGTAAATTAGACCTACATGGATCTCACCCTGGTTGGCTCTCATACCTCATCTCCCACTACTCTCCTCTCACTCCAACCTGCCACCCCTGGCCTGCTCACTCTTGCCTAACACACTTGCCATGTTCCCTACCTTCCTCACTTGCTTTATGCCTTTGCTTAAATGTCACTTTCTCAGGGAGGACCCACTGATTAAAATTAATGTAGATAAATTGATTAATCGATTAAAAGTAATGTAGATAAAAAATGTAGTACAATACCTGGATAAAATAGGTCTTCAGTAAATGGTAGTCAGAGCCAAATGCCTTGCTCAAGTCACAGAGTAAGTGGCTGAGATCAGATTTCAAATTAAAAAACATATCTCTAAACCCCATCATCCCTAGTGTCAGTGGCTGACTACTCCAGCACACACTGAACTCATTCTCAGATAATCGCAGTACCTATTAAATGTACCACACGTTTAGTCATTTACTCATATATGGTCTTAGAATATCACTCTTTTTTTCATGCACATATACCCTGACCTTCAAAGAAATCAAAATCTTCCTGAATGTAGAGACTTTTATCAGTATATAATTTACCTTTGTAAAATGTCCTGAGCATCTAAAGCAATGTGGAGGCAGTTAATAAATACAAAAATAATAAAACTGTAACTTTCCATGTAACACAAGCATTACAGTTTTTGCTGTCCTATCACCAATCTTTAATGCCTACTAATCAAACTTCTCTCCACCTTTTTCAGCTAAAAGGGTTTTTTTGTTTGTTTTGAAAAAAATTTTATTCCTTCCAGGCCTTATTAAAAAATTCTTGATTGTTTCTTCGGTATCCCTTATCTTTTGGCTGTTTTTAGACTTAAGTCATACTTCTTTACCTACTTAAATTCTTTAACAGTTTAAAATATCATGGCTGGGGCTTCCCTGGTGGCGCAGTGGTTGAGAGTCCGCCTGCCGATGCAGGGGACACGGGTTCGTGCCCCAGTACGGGAAGATCCCACATGCCGTGGAGCAGTTAGGCCCGTGAGCCGTGGCCGCTGAGCCTGCGCGTCTGGAGCCTGTGCTCCGCAAGGGGAGAGACCACAACAGTGAGAGGCGCGCGTACCGCAAAAAAAAAAAAAAAAAATCATGGCTGAAATAAGCTTCCTCTGCAAATCACTGTTGTATTTGAGCTTGTGACATCTATTAAGTGCTTCATACTTCGAAAATATAATGATGCAACACTAACTACAAATTGAAGATCAGCTAATTCAAAACTGAGTTTGTAGACCAACAGACTCCCAACAACACTGCTTTACAATTTTCAAGGATTATTACAGATGTGCTTTATGGTATAAAATCTGGGCATCTTAAACCATGTGTTGAAGTGTACCTGAGACTGCATTTTGAGAAATAGCTTGCCTCTACCTATGAGTAATCAATGGGCCCTTCTCCCATTTAGATATTGCTATAAGGCAGCTTCACCTCAGGAGCACATTTTCATTCAGCTCCTTAAAGCTTTCATAAATAGATGTCAGCCCTATCTGCAGCTTGGCTACCCAGTGAACCATGTAGGTTTGAACTTATTCAAAAACAAAGATTTTTAAACAAAATAATTCTCAGAGAACATGACTTAAAACTTGATGAGAATAATATTACTTTTAACATATGGCTAAGGGATATGCAATCCATCTCCATCTATAAATTAGCTGTTCTCAAATGTAGGCAGAAAGAATGTAAGGAAAACTTTTTCCAAATACACGTTTGACCTTCTCCCCCACTTCCACCTCCACTCTCCATTCTCCAGAGATTCTGATAGTCCCCCAAATATGAGATCATCATACTTTTGTTTATTTATTCTTTGCCCTGCTTTCCCTTCACTTACTTTTAAAATTCTATATATTTAACTGCCTTAAATTCATTGTGGAATTAGAGAGAAAATAAATAAAATAAAAAATAAAACAAGTTTTCAAGTCTATTAATATGCAAGTTTTTAATGAGATAGTCAATATGAATGTTTCTTTGTCAAGAACATGAAACTATTACATAAATACAGCCCTTATCTTATTTTCATTTACCCTTTTAAATGGCAAAATCATTTATTTCTACGTCGAATTGTGCTCAAGATTAATAGTGAAGTCCTTATTTTCTGTTTGGCTAATATAATGACATGTAAATCTCTACACAATATTTTATTTATCCAAATAACTTAAAAATGAAAATTAAATTCATTTGTGGGTGTTTTGCCAAGCCAACGTTTAATAATCATTATTATTTTTTAAAGATGTTGGGGGTAGGAGTTTATTAATTAATTAATTAATTTTTGCTGTGTTGGGTCTTCGTTTCTGTGCGAGGGCTTTCTCTAGTTGTGGCAAGCGGGGGCCACTCTTCATCACGGTGTGCGGGCCTCTCACTATCGTGGCCTCTCTTGTTGCGGCACACAGGCTCCAGATGCGCAGGCTCAGTAGTTGTGGCTCATGGGCCTAGCTGCTCCGCAGCATGTGGGATCCTCCCAGACCAGGGCTCGAACCTGTGTCCCCTGCATTAGCAGGCAGAGTCTCAAACACTGCGCCACCAGGGGAGCCCTAATAATCATTGTTTTCATCTGACCTTATGTTTTTTGAGTAGATCAAAGGAGTTGACTATTTTGGTACCTGTACAGACAATGTTTTACTAGTACTACATTGCTTGGGAGGTGGAGGAGATGGGAGGAGCAACAATCTAAAAATTCCTTTAAAGTTGAATGGCTTTTTATAGAAGTATTTCAATCTCATGAATATTTTTAGTCAAGAACTGAATTCTAAGGACCAAAGAAGAGATTTCTTAATACATTAAAAAATATATATTACTGCACTTTTATTAAAAATGATGATATTAAAAGGGTGTACTAATTCAAATAAGGAAAAATTGAAAATAATACTTTGACTTCAAAAATATCTTTGTTTCAATTTTTTATTATAAATAATTTATTTTTCCTTATGGTAAGTAAGTAAGTTTTCTCATGTGTTGATATAAGGATAGAAAAAAAGTGAAAGTGCAACTTTTGTTACTTAGGGCAATACATTAAGTTTCATGGGGCATGTAGAATACCGTATCTATTTATTATTTGGATACAATTACCTACTTATTTATTATTAGGGTATAGTTGTTTTACAATGTTGTATTAGTTTCTACTGTACAGCAAAATGGAGTTCCCTGGGCTATACAGCAGGTTCTCATTATTTATCTATTTTATACATATTAGTGTATATATGTCAATCCCATATTGATTTTTTATTTATTCACATTCTTAAAATACATAAACTTTAAAAATATAGGACAAATTAACGTTTTCTTACACATTTTCTACTCGAACATGCTGATAGTCAGAGAGTATAGCACCTACTGATATTCCCTCTACTTCTTCTTTTTCCTGAAAATAAAGAAAAAAAATATGATTAAAAAATAAATAACATGTGGCTCTGTATCATGTTCTAAAAATTATAAATGAACCGTGTTTCATTTAGAAGACCACCTTGAAACAGAATAACTTACTGGAAATGCAATCCACATTCAGAGAAAAAGAAAGTATATTAAAAAAATATATATTTAAGTAACCCTCTCAGCTCTGGGGGGAAATAATTATTCTTTTTACCTAAAATCCAAATAACTGGAGACCATTTTCCATGCAGAAGATAAAGGCAGCACTTCCAAAATGTTTTCTCACTTGATATATTTTTAAAGATTCACTGATGTTTGAGAGAAATTTCCAAGAAATTTCTATTTAAGGACAATGTATTGCCAGGTTGAGTAAGTTTTTTTAAAAAAATTAAGCAATGATATAAGTAGATAAAGGAATACAATGATTTTCATCCATATCTTAAAGTGATTGACATAGGAGCATCCAGGAAGCAGAGATGATAGAGGCATTGCCTGTATAACAGTACAGAATAGTGGATAAAGAAATCTAGGATGAGAAGGAAGCAATGAATTATTATCAGTAGAGCTGAGAACATCTAGCAGTATATCCAGCAGAGTCCCCCAGGGATGAGGACTAGTCTATGCAACATAGCCATTAATGACATGGAGGAGAATGTAAATTCAAATATGATCAAGTTTACAGATGATACAAAGCTAGGATGGATTAAAAAGAAAAGAAAATCAATCAAGTACCTGGATGGATATGGACAACTTGGGGATTTGAAAGGACAGGTCTAAGATGAGATTTAATGTAAAGAAGTATAAAATAATACCCTTAAGGAAGAATCACACACAACACAGGTATAAACTAGGGAAATGTTATCTAGAAAACAGATATGAAGAAAGTGACTGGGGGGTGATTACTAATAACAAACTGAATAGAAATTCTCTGAATAGGCATAAAAGAAAAGTCATCGTAGCCTATGGAGTACAGAAGAAAACTACTTCAGAGAGATGACTTCATTATTAACACTGGTCTTTCCAAACTTGGAAACCTACAAAAAAGAACAATAGTGTTTCACATAAAAATAAATGTAATACTTGGAGACATTCTAAAATAACCCCAAATGTCCTAAAATGATGCCATAATAAATAAACAAAAATGCACAACAGGAATCTCTCATGTCTTTGAAGATAAAGCCAATTTAAAATTTCCCCTCTAAAATGATAGAGAAACATCTTCCCAAACCTCCCCAAAATAAAATGATTCTTTCTATTAGATAAGGATTCCAGGAAAAGAGCTATTTCCTTTGCTTTCCTATTTCAGCAACTTTGTGAGAACATTTGCTTGTAACCTTCCTAGCCATTTTCTTTTCATAAAAGTCATTGTATTACTAGAAAAAAGCATGGCATAGTGATCCTCATTAAATGCAAATATGGCATAGGATCATACAGTAGTGAATAATGTTATCAAAAATAAAAATTTTAGTTATATTCTTTTACCATATATTGTTTAACTGCCAAAAGAAAATATAAGGTACTGAATAGTATGTGTGTGTGTGTGTGTGTGTGTGTGTGTGTGTGTGTTTCTCTATAGATCATGAAAACAAACACAAGTCATTGGTGTTTTTCTTTCTAAACTAAGTCAAGCCACTGTTAAAATAATAATTGGCATTTACTCTCCACTTAAAATGTGTTAATGTTCTATAATTCTCATTTAATGTTCACTACAACCCTAAAATAATTATTTAATTCTTCTTAGTCTACATACATTGTGAATATTGAGTAATATAATACAGATAAGTAACAGTGACTAGCATCTAGTGAGCACTCAGTAAATATTTTCTTCTGTCATTAGCATAATCTTTGTTATCAATAATACTACTTTTATAACTACTTCTGTTACTACTTCTACTATTACTACTACTGACCACCACCACCACTACAACCAGATAAAGGTCTAACGTGACAAACAAAGCCCTTCATTCCTGGGCTTTAATCTCTTGCTCATTATCACTTTTTAACTAGCTTACTAGCCCATGATAGTGAATTTTATGTGTCAACTTGACTAGGCTAAGGGGTACCCATTGCTGGTAAAACATTATTTCTCTGAGGAAGTTTCTGGAAGAGATTACGATTTGAATTCATAGACTGGGTAAAAAAGATTGCCCTAACCAATGCAGGTGAGCATCATCCAACCTGTTGAGGACCTAAATAGAAAAAAAAGGTAGAGGAGGGGCACATTTACTCTCTGCTTGAGCTGGGACATCCATTTTCTTCTGTCCTCAGACAACAGTGTTCCTGGTTCTTGGGCCTTTGGACTCAGAGTGGAATTTACAACACTGGCCCCCTTATTCTCAGGCTTTTGGGTTTAGACTGGAACTATATACTACCAGCTTTTTAGGTGTCCAGCCTGCAAATGGAGAGCGTGGGACTTCTTAGCTTCCATAATCAGATAAATTAATCCCTCAAAATAAATCTCTTTCTATATATCTTTATATATCCTATTGGTCCTGTTTCTCTGGAGAACCCTGACTAATACATAACCCTTGACAACCAACTCTACAGTCCAGTCACAAATGTTTCCAACCTAGTGAGCCCTGAATAATCCAAGGATAAGTAAGACTTCTGTTGAATCCTTAATCATTCAGAACATACTACTAATTTTGAAGTGAGACCTATAAAAGATAAAAATCTATCACACAGTCAATCTACTCTGCAGAAAATACAAAGCTTAGCTCAGGTCCCACCTGAGCTACCAGACTACCAGAATAGAAGGTGGTATACCGAGGCAGCATAAAGACATAGCCAAATAAATCACCCTGTGACATAACTGAAATAAAAATAAATGTGCTGCAGGGACTTCCTTGGTGGTCCAGTGGGTAAGACTCCACACTCCCAAGCAGGGGGCCCAGGTCCAATCCTTAGTTAGGGAACTAGATCCCACAGGCATGCCACAGTGAAGATACCGCGTGCCACAACTAAGACCCTGTGCAGCCAAAACAAATAAATAAAGATTTTAAAACAAACAAATAAACGTGCTGCAGAAAACAGTTAATATAGAATCTGAGACCCAGAAATTTGACCAGATTCGAACCAACTTCCCATGATCAATCCCATGTGCACTAAGCAACCTTAGGTTGCCTCGTTACTGTCAAACCCAGAAAGATTAAGCTAATCCATAAAAACAAGCATTCTCACCCACTTAACAAAAATGGTCTACATTATAAATCAACAAATTGGCATTCAAGCCTATACATTAGTCTTAAATGAATTTGGTCTGTATTCGTCTATACTAAAGAGACTGATAACTTCTTGGTACATTGTCAAAATCAAGTCTCTAGTCTGGAGAGCTATACCACAGTACTCACCAAAGTAATATTCCCAAGCTTAACCAGCCATGTAACCTCTTCTAACAATAATGCTAATTGTCATGTCATCATTCTTTAATTGTTCACCTAATATTAAAACATGTAACCAAAAATGTTTTATATGTCCATACTATGTACCAGTTTAATAAATAAGATTAGCTCTACTGTTGGGAGATTAAGGCACCAAAACTAAGTAATAAAAAAAGTTATATGAAAGCAAAAAGTTGGGGAAGGTTTCACAGAAGAAGTAGACTTCAGGGCCTACTCATCAAGGATATGTTTGATTTTGTTGAGAAAGGAAAGAAAGGTAGTAGGGAACAATTCAGACAGAGTGAAGAATATGAACCAAGGCAACAAAATAAAGTGTTTGGCATATTAGGAGGTGGTCAGCAGTGTGGGGTAGCTGGAGCTGAAAGCACACATCAAGAAGTGGAAGGAAAAAAGGATGGAAAAGCAAATTGGGATCAGATTGGTCAGAAATGTGGCTTGCATCCTGAAGGTAACAGAGAACCCTTCCCTGTAGAAAATTTTTTCTGACCAACTCCTGCGGTACAATTCACATACAATAAACTGCATCTATTTAAAGTGCACAATTCAATGAGTTTTGACAAACCCACACATCAGTGAAACTGCCACCACAATCAAGATTACTGATTACTCCCAAAAGATACCTTGTGACTCTTTGCAGCCCAACCCTTCCCCTTTACTCCTGGCTTTATACAATTACTGATCTGTTTTATGTCAGTATACATTAGTTTACATTTTCTGTAATGTTATATAAATAGCATCCTACAATACGTATTCTTTGTTTCTAGCTTCTTTCACTCAGTGTGATTTTGAGGTTCATCCATATTGTATGTGTACCCATAGTTCATTCCTTCGATTCCATTCTAATCCATTGTATGGATATGCCACGTTTGTTTATCCATTCACTTGTTGATGGATATTTGAGTTTAAGGTTCTTATGAATAAATCTATGAATGTTACTTTATGGCTTTGTGTTAATATACGTTTTCACTTTTCTTGAGTCACTAAAGAATTTAACAAGTGAGATATGATATTTATAAATAAAAAGATAAACGTGGCGACAGTGTGAAGGATTGACTAGAGAGTAGAGAAATAGAAGAAGGAGCCTAATCTGAAAGAACTGAGGAATGGAGATAAAAGGACAAACTCCAAAAATGATTTAGAGACAAAATTAGTAGGACTTGTGAACAGTGACAAGAAGCACACATGAAGCATGGGGCCAATGACTGTAATTTAAGTGACTATTAACTGAGATAGGAAATACATGTCTTAAAAGAAAATACTGAGTTTATTTAGCAACGTACGTGTTGTGTTCAATTTGTTTGCTAGGTATTCAAAGTAGATAAGACCATTAGGTATATTGAGTACAGTCATCCCTCCATATCCATGGGTTCTGCATACATGGATTCAACCAACAGTGGATCAAAAATATTTTTTTAAAAATTTTCTAGAAAGTTTCAAAAAGCAAAACTTGAATTTGTCGCACACTGGCAACTATTTATAGAGCATTTACATTGTATTAGGTATTATAAGTAATCTAGAAAGGATTTAAAGTATGGTAGAATGTGCATAGGTTATACGCAAGTACTGTGCCATTTTATATAAGAGACTTGGG